TGCAGTGAGGCCATCTTGGCTCACTGCAGCCTCCAGCTCCCTGGCTCAAGCAACTCTTCCACCTCACCTCAGCCTCCCAAGTAGCTGAGACTATAGGTGCCCACCACCACACTCAGGTAATGTTTAATATTTTTTGTAGAGACAGGGTCTTGCCATGTTGCCCAGGCTGGTCTTGAACTCCTGGACTCAGGCAATCCGCCCTCCTTGGCCTCCCAAAGTGTGGAGATTACAGGAATGAGCCACCTCGCCTGGCTGAGATTATTATTTCTATGTCAGAGGAAAGAAGGTGAGACTCAAAAGGGTTACAATGTCAAGGGTAGAGCTGAGACTTAAACCCTGACCTTTGAGCCAGGATAACTGAAAACAACGAAAAACCCAACTGTTTGGAAATAGCAAAGGCAATAAGATGTAAAAATAAAAGTATATTTACCCAGACAAAATGCTTAGGTTTGTAGAATCACCAAGAAATTCACCCACTGTAGTTCTAGAGACATCTGGACAGACGGTAAAGGAAGTGTCTCTCTCCAGGAACAGGTTTAACATTTTCCTTTGATTAGACCTAAAACTGGGTCCTGAGCCAGAGCTTCCTTCCTCTCTTAAGGATGAGAAGAGTTCTGCAGACATGGTCTTCGAGTTCTCACAGGAGAAAAACAAAACCTAGCTAGGAGGAAAACATCATCTGTATCGGTACATCACAGTTCCCTCCGCTTTCCCAAACTCCTCCACCCTTTTCAGTCAGGCGGATCAGCACTGGAGGAAGGGCATCCCCGAAGGGTGATTCACAGCCTGGCTTCAAGGTTAAACTGCACTTGGTCGAAGCGGCTTGGCTTCAGGTTAGAACCTGAATTCACTGACGAAAGGCAACCTTAGGACTTTAAAGATGGAATAAAGTGGGGATTTTGACTTGTTCAACGCGACACAACTCCAGATTCCTTTCCAGAGGAACCCGGGTCTGGTAACTCGCAATATTGCCCATTCGGCCTTCCCAACCTCCGTTTGTGGGGGCCCAACTGGACCCTAAGGGGTCAATGGGGTCTCCGTGATTCTGTGGCGGAGACCACTGTGAACTTACCCCAAGCCTGGAGTCTGAGGCTTGCCATCGGGAGGAAGGAAAGTGGGTAGGGGTCGAACACAGGCGGAGATTCGAGCAGAATAAAAGGAAATCTAGGGGAAAGTAGACAGTTAACCAAACTGCAACTCTGCCTCCCAACTGGGAGGGCAGCGTCGGACTCCGCGGCTTCCCTGAGCAGAAGGCCGAAGTTACCGCCTCGGAGCAAGAAAACCAACAGCCCCAGGCGTTGACCATTCAAACCTTCTGCCCGCCCAGTAATTTATCTCGGCTCGCCTCTAAGCTGCGTCAGCCAATCTCCGCGCTCGCGCCCAGACATTCATGGCCAATCATTGGGCTCGCACAACACCCGGGGGCGTGTGCTTGCTCTAGAAGCGGTAAGACTTGCCCCGCCCCATAACCAGAGCAAGATTGCGATTGGCCCACCAGCGCTAAGCAGGACTGTGGGGTATGCCCGCCTTAAGAGGAGCCTGACGTATCATTGGCTCTCCCTCTGAGCAATCGCCACACCCTTTCTGTTTTCTTCGTTTCCCTCCGCCCCAAGAACCCCGGGAGATTTAAATCGCGCCTTGCGAGCAATGACCATTCCCCTAGGATAATACTAGGAAAGATTGTTTTGGGTGTAGGATGTTGTAAACGTTTCATTTTCATGGCTTCTTTCTTGTGCCGTTTGCGCGGGCGTTTTCTTCTACGTTTTGCTGGCCTTCCACGAGAGACGGAGCGTTTGCTGCCGGTGTGGCAGGTGTTGGGGCAAGACAGGTGTGCGGGTTTATGATGAGAGGCATTGGCCCCTTCCGAGAGCTTTCCTTGTTTGGTGTTTCTTTTAGTGTATAGCATCTCGGAGACGCTATTGTACGTGGGTAAAAAGAAATTCCGTTGCAGGGAAGTGGAGGAATTAAATCATCCCGGAATAATCCTTATGACAGTCCAGAAGACCTCAAAGTTTGGTTATTAATGGAATTTTTGAACAACGACTAAGTGGTGTTATTTAGAAATTATTGGCCAGGCGCGGTGGCTCACACCTGTAATCCCAGCACTTTGGTAGGCTGAGGCGGGCAGATTACATGAGGTCAGGGGCTCAGGACCAGCCTGGCCAACATGGTGAAACCCTGTGTCTACTAAAAATACAAAAATTAGCCGAGTGTCGTGGCACACAATCTGTAATCCCAGCTACTTGGGAGGCTGAGGCATGAGAATCGCTTGAACCTGGGAGATTGAGGTTGTGCCACTGCACTCCAGCCTGGGCAACAGAGTGAGACTCTATCTCAAAACAAAAACAGACATTCCTGATGTTAGGGATTTGCTTTTAAATAATCCTGTGCTGGGGGAGGGTATTGATGATACAAGATTGACCCTGAGTGTTAAGCAATAGGGGGCAGGAGGGTCCATCATATCTGCGCTACTCAACGTTTAATGTGCACACTCACCACCTGGGGACCTGCTAAATGCAGATTCTGATTCAGGAGGTCTGGGTTGCAGTTATGGCCCAAGATTCTGCCCTTTTAACGAGCCCCCTGCTGATGGTGAGGTAGCTGGTCCTAGGACTACACTTTGAATAGTAAGGTATTATCTCATACCCTTTACTTCAGTGTATATTTAAAAATTTTCGGCTGGGCGTGGTGGCTCACACCTGTAATCCAAGTACTTTCGAGGCCAAGGCGGGCGGATCACCTGAGGTCTGGAGTTCAAGACCAGCCTGACCAACATGGTGAAACTTTAAAAAAAAAAAAAAATTCCATAATAAAAATCTTCCAAAAATAACCTTGGAAGCTCTTTAAGATGTAGGCTCCAAAAACCATCATTCAATAGGTCTAAAGTGGGGTCATTAACAAGGCCCCCAGGTGCTACCCATGTAGCCAACTTGCAGATCACACTTTGAGAAACAAAAGTCAAAAGTGCAACTTTTGTCTGATATCAGTATCTTGCTGGTGGTAGTGGCTGAGAGGCACAGTGTAGTCAGCTGGCTTTTATCCTAATTCCCTTTTCATCTGTAGAACCTGCTTCCCCAGAAAGGAGATGTGTGAAGAGTCTTTGTCCTCTAGGATGCAGACAGTGAGTGTGGGAGTTAGCACAGAACCTTGCTATGCCAGCTGAGTTTGAAAATCAGGCTGGGGATTAAGGGAGTGTGGGATGAGTTGATATCTGCTTTGATGACTACAATATAATCACACTTTGTGGAAAACTGTATACTTCCCTGCAGGTGGGAAGTAGAGACAGATGAAGTTATTCTCCAGTGGCGGCAAAAGCAGGTAGATTATGGCAAGTGTACACCTGGCTACCAGTGCTTTCTACAGCAGGTCCCCAAGTGAGTGCAGTTATAGATGGTCACAACAAAGGTGTCAACCAAAGTGGCTTTCGTTCAATGTTCAGGTGATGGAAATATACTAGAATCTGTGTGCTCTGACAAAGTTGCAGCATTCCTAAAAGAAATTCTCTAAAAATCTAGCCCCAAAAATAAGTTTGAGATTTTTTTCAAATGGAAATTATACACCTAGCCCTTAAGACTTTTTTTTTTTTTTTTTGAGGCAGAGTCTTGCTCTGTTGCATAAGCTGGACTGCAGTGAGTGGTGCAATCTCTGCTCACTGCAACCAGCTCCCAGGTTCAAGCAATTCTCCTGCCTCAGCCTCCCAAATAGCTGAGACTTCAGGTGCCCGCCACCACACCCGGCTGATTTTTGTATTTTTAATAGTGGTGGGGTTTCACCACATTGGCCAGGCTGGTCTCGAACTCAAATGATCCACCCACCTTGGCCTCCCAAAGTGCTGAGATTACAGGCAAGAGCTGCAGTGCCTGGCCGCCCTTAAGACTTTTTACAGATGCAATGGTGCGCCTGTAGTCCCAGCTACTTGGGAGAATTGTTTGAGGCCAGCCTGGGCAACAACAACACTCTTAAAAGCTCCATGTTTCCTAATGAAATTGTTTTTTGTTTTTTTTGAGACAGACTCTTGTTCTGTCGCCCAGGCTGGAGTGCAGTGGTGTGATCTTGGCTCAGCGCAACCTCTGCCTCCTGGGTTCAAGTGATTCTCCTTCCTCAGCCTCCCAAGTAGCTGGGAATACAGGCACGTGCCACCACACCCGGCTAATTTTTTGCATTTTTAGTAGAGACAGGGTTTCACTGTGTTACCCAGGTTGGTCGCAATCTCCTGACCTCAAGATCTGCCTACCTTGGCCTCCCAAAGTCCAGGGATTACAGGCATGAGCCACTGCACCCGGTGAGATTGTTTTCCTACCTTTTTTACTATCTCATTGTGACTCCAGCTGGCTTAGCTAATTGCAACATACTTACTAACTACATGTACATTTACATGCATGCATACAAACTGTGGAAGGGTAGAATTATTTTAAAGGGAAGTCAAATATTGTCTTTTATATCTTGATTTCTGAGGGTGTTGGAATATATCTAATTTATCCTTCCCAGAAGAAAGAATATTAGGGAGGTGGGAAGTTTGGTGTTTAATCTGATTTGAAGATTTACTTTTTCTATTGGATTGAGGGCATTGATCCTATGTCATCCTTGGGGAATCCCTATCTAGGCTCCTGATTCACTGTGATAAGCAGTGAGCTGTGTTCCTTCACCTTGACCTCAATCTGACCCATATTTGTAGTTGCCAGGGCACCGCGGCAGCCTGGGCTTCACCCTGAAATACCAAACAAGAACCAGCGGTACAGCGGTTGCTCCTGGGATGCCCAGATCAGGCAGTGGAGAAGAGCCCTACATTTCTGGGACCCTCCCAGCCAGCCTCTGCAGGGCAGGGGAGCTGAGGGGTGTGTTTTCTATTCCTTGTTCTTTTCATGACTGGTGGGCTTAGCCCTCCTTCTCCCCACTTTGCAGAGATTTAGCTTTCACTGGGTGAAAAGGGAGGGTCTGAATTGAATGCATGTTCCTCTGACTCGGCTGTTCCTTCCTAGGCAGGGAATGGAGAGTCTCTTAGAGCCAATGGATTCCACTCCTTTGGATGACCTCCTGGATGACTGGCTCCAGGCCCTGGAACCCTCAGAATATGGATGGAAAGTATCCTCTGCTGAAACCCACTGGGGCAGGGTCAGAGATAGGGTTCGGACCATGAAGGCACAATTAAGATGCTGTTCAAAACAGTGGCTCAAGAACAAAATAATACAAAGGGGGCAGCAGGGAAGAAGAGTAGGACATGAGTAAAAAATCACTGGGAATTAAAAGTGGAATAAGGAGATTTCATTATGGGTAGGTGTGTTGGGCTGCACTTGAAGGCTATTTAATAGATGATGAAAGGGGATGTAACCTTCCTTTGAAATGAGGCTTGAAACTTGCAGGGTTTTTTTTTGTTTTTTTTTTTTAGTCT